AAAAATCTACAAAAGGCACCTACTCAGTCACTAATAATATTGTTAATAATAATGCTTTAATATAATGTAAAAAGATTTTACAAAGTAATTTTGCTATTAGTATTCAAATAATCTAGGAAATATTGCAATTAAGCAATTTATTACTATATTTATCACATATTATTCCATGACTAAAATTGATAGTAAACATTACTAAGGATTCTGTATACCCTGTTACTGGAGGAGGTCCATGGGAGGGGGGCGTGACACTATGAGTTACCTCAGGGGGTGACAGCATCCCTGTTGACCCCACTGCAGACTCCCATGTTAAATACAAGAGTAAGGCAAACTATCTCATCAAGCTTTCTGAAAGATTTCTGAAAGGATATACTTGGAAAGATTTTGAAATGTGAGTTAAAATTGAAAGTAAACTCAGAGCAAAACACTTTGTTCTTTGGCTGAACAATACGGCTCACAAATTTTTTCATCCCTCTGTTCACAAAACGCTTAGACTTTATCTCATTATGTTTAATTCATCTACCCACATCACCACCAACTGTTATTACTAGAACATAAAACAGCTTAAAAGAGTATTTTAAGATATCCTCCTTGTTAACCTTTTCGTCTATTGTGTTCATGACTCCCACACTGGTGACAATTCCTTTATTTCTTTGCATAACCCTTTTAAATGGAGCCCAGTGGATATTGTGTGAAAGAATATTTACTCAGTGTATGTAATATTCCAAAATTGCAGGTCTTTGGAAAAAATTCTTGGTATCCTGTCAGTCAGTCAGAGAGGTAGAAAGCTGGTGTAGCTTAGAGGTGGCCATCTATTGATCACTCACTTTGGTGTTAACACTGTGCTTCTCCCCAATCACTTCTCGGAAAATCACTAGAAACTCTTTTAACTAAGAGAAGCTAAGATTATTAGATACAATGTGGCTAGTCAAATACCATCATGACAGAGTATCAATAGTGTCTCAGAAAGAGGAAGTCAGAGGAAGATGTTTAAATGGTTACAGTGATTGGATTGGTGATTTTAAGACAGACCTTGCGTGAGGTAGGAGTGGTTTTAAACCAAACTAAACTCACTGCCATCAAGTCAATTCCTATGCATATCGACCCCCATGGATTTCCAAGGCTGAAAATCTTTACAGAAACATAGGGCCTCATCTTGCTTCTGAAAAGTGGCAGAATGGCTGATGGTTTCGAACCACTGACCATTTGGTTAGTAGCCAAATGCCTTAACCACTACACCACCAGAGCTCCTATGGGACTGATTGGGATTGGGCAAATGTTACGGTGTCATGGCTTTGCATTGGTTGGCACAATAAGACAAAGTCTTAATGTGAGTCCTGATGAACAAGCTAGTTATCTTGATAAATAAACTATTTTAGTTGGTTCAAAGTCTTATTTTATATTTCAGGAGCAGTGTTTCCTAGAGCAAAAGCTAAGGCTTTTTTAGCATAGCTAAAGTTATGTTTGCTGTTATGAATATGTGCAACATAGCAAAGAAGAATAAGTCTGTTCCTTGTTTTGTTTTGTTAACATCAAACAGGGAAATATGTTGGTTTAATTTCTCACTACAAATAATCTAAATGATGCAGGACATTGATAGTGTACCTTTGTGATCATTATTTCTGAATTTTAGCTTCATTGATTCATTTGCATGAGCTGGCTTATTTTAAGTAAAAGCAGAATAACTTCTTAATGAAAATCATATATGTGTATAATATAAACCCAATACAAGATGTACCAAAGTAAGTTTTATATGTTGGTGTTTATTTTTCCTTTTGAAATTGATATCATAACTGTGTCAAGTAATTTATCAACTGCAATTGTTTATATTCGCTTATTTGTCAAGTAGTTATGTAACAATTACTGTATACTGGGCATTCTAACTTACGGAGCCATAATTTCAACTGCAGCAACCCAGCACTAGAGTCCTAATTTTTAATGACTGTGATATGCTTGCTCTCTCTCAACATAGAAAAAAATGGAATTTTTCATATTTCAATGCCATTTTTAAAACAGTTTATTATCCCAGTGAATTATTCGATGATGCAAGCACTCTGATCATATCAATAACCTCAGCAACACTAAAGGCCTGTAGGGAAAAAAGCATCTTCCCTAAAATATAGCAGTTTAGTGAGATGTTCTGAGAATATTTCCTTGCGATTTTGCAAGTAAAGTGGAATAAAGAGGAAATACAGTTCTTGGAAAGTCTGTGGAAAAGTTGAAAATTAACTGAAGGTTATAATCTATCTCATCTGTTCATATACTTCAATGTGAAATTCTCTCCATTTCTAAAACATAAACTCTGCAACACTAAAACATTCTGACTCTTCTGCTTTCTTGGGCCATGTATATTTGAGCATTTTATTATTATTATTATTATTATTCCATTTGAATAAGTAATAAACATACCCATTAAGGCACAATAAATTTAAGATTTTTGAAGTGCTTTTCATTTGTTCAAAAAGTTATAATAGTTTCACAAAAAATCAGCAGGTTGGAATCAATAACAGAATCCTTTGATTGTCAAGTATCCACACTATATTAATGAACTAAGTCAAGTAAACACAAAATTTTATTTCAATAAAAGTATGTTAAGAAAGACATTATGCTAAGTGTTAATTAGTAAGAGTTTCTCAGCTCTAAAATAAAATGCCATTTTTTTCATTTTATTTATGATCTGCTTTTATTGAGGCAGGATTAACAGATTTAATGTTGCTTAGTTTGTAAAGAAAATAAATGTACATAAAATATGGAGCCCTGGTGATGCAGTCATTAAGCACACAGCTTCTAACTGAATGGTCGGTAATTCATACTTTCTCCAATCACTCCACTGGAGAAAGAAACGGCAATGAGTTTCAATGGTATAATGAGTTCCATATAACTGAAAATAAAATCTGGGATGTAAAGGAAGACTAGGAGCTCTGGTAGTATAATGCCTAAGGCACTTGACTGCTCACCAGAAGGCTGGCGGTTCAAACCCACCAGCCACTCCTCAGAAGGAAGGTTGGGCAATCCTACTTCCGTAGTGATACTGCCTCGGAAACCCAAGGAGGGGTCGCTATGAGTCGGGGCCCACTCGACGGCAAACAACAACAACAACAACAAAGGAAGACTAGGAATGAGATTATATCCGAACTATGTCCTACATGGCCCAATACACACTTACAAAGAATGGGTCACATATTTTGTTCTGTGTTTTCTAGAAGTTAATTTGAAGAGAAAAAGTTTGTTCAGTTTCAAGATTTGCAATATTCAAAATAAACATGTTGTTGTTGTTATGTGCCGTGGAGTCAAACCCGACTCATAGTGACCCCTCCTTGGGTTTCCGAGGCAGTATCACTACGGAAGTAGGATTGCCCAACCTTCCTTCCGAGGAGTGGCTGGTGGGTTTGAACCGCCAGCCGTCTGGTTAGCAGGCAAGTGTCTTAGCCACTATGCTACCAGCAAAAATATGCATATTGGAAGGCAAAAATTGAAAAGCAAAGTAAGATTATTATAAGGTAATATGGTAGTTTGGGGAAATAAACTACCACTAGATTGTTTGCCAGGAAAATAGTTAGGCAATATTGAGGCATCTACTTAACAAATATTCTAAGCACTCTTCTAAACGCTTTAGAAAAAATAATCCATTTCATCTGCAAAACAACATTCTGAGGTAGATTATATTAATGTCATATATATTTCACAAATGAAGAAACTGAAGCTTAGGGTAAGCAAAAGACTTTCAAGATCAGACAGTTAAATGGCTGGAAAAATCAGGGTTCAGTTAGAAGCAGAAACACTATGAATGATATCAAATAAGGGTCTCCTCAATCGTAAGGACTGGCTAAGTAGTCTTTGTAAGTCTATTGCCTCTGTTTCTGGCTCTGGATCTGAAGTCAGCTCAGGAGATACGAAAATGGATGTAAAGTGAGAGAAAACACTACAAGCTTAAATGGATGTATCTCTCTCTCACTGCCTCTCATCTTAATGATGTGGATGACCTGCTGGGTAAATTGGCACTTTCACCACACAGGGACATTTTCATCTGACCCAGGGTTTTAAAAAGCTTAAGGAGAAGATCTGACAGGGGCTATAGTTGCTGTAGTCCTGGCTGCTGCTCTCTGCCAACCAGTTGAGTCAGCTGCTCAACAGCAATGTCTGTGAACAAGAATAGCTCCTGCCCTCCAGTAAATTTTGGAGTGTAGCAGGGTACATATGGCAGCTCTGGTGGTGTAGTGCCTAAGGCATTTGACTGATAATCAGAAGACTGGTGGTTCAAACCCACTGGCCACTTCTTGGAAGGAAGACTGGGCAATCTACTTTCATAGAGATACCAGCTTGGAAACCCAAAGAAGGGTCACTATGAGTCGGAATTTACTTGACAGCAGTGAGTTTGGTTTTTTGGTTAGGATACATACAATGAGGAAACTTTGAGAAACATGGATACAGCTTTGCTAAGCTGATACAGTACAGTAACAAAGAAGGCGAGCTAGGGTTGGAACCTAGAGAATATGCCTGTAGTGACACTTTCTGCTTCTACATTTAAGTTGAATCTTGAAGATCAATTAAGATTTATCCAGACTTATGTTTGGGAGGTATTCCAGCTAAATGAAACTATATGTACAAATACAAGGTAAATTGTGCAATATGTCAAAGATTTCTTAGGAATTCAATTTTCTTTCATGTAGTATGAATTAAGGAACCCTGGTGGGGCTGTGGTTAAAGCGATCAGCCGCTAACTGAAAGGCTGGCTGTTTGAATCCAGCACCCACTCTGTGAGAGAAAGATGTAGCAGTCAGCTTCCATACAGATTCACTGCACTGAAAGCCTATGAAGCAATTTTATTCTGTCTTATAAGGTCACTACAAATCATAGCAAGCCAGTGGGAGTGAGTTAGTATGAATGAGGGAGAATAGAGGAGGTAGGCTGGAAGAGCTGATAGGGTCCATGTGTTCGAACTCTGTTCTATGGATAATTACCAGTGTTTTATTATTATGAATATTACTTTATCCTACAAATAGGTTCCAAACAGGTCCTGTGGAAAAATTTGGTGTTATTTTTTTCTTATGGAGTATTGTATCCAAAGTCCTCCATCTTCAGGAAATCAGTACCAATTCTACAGGCTCAAGAGAGGCTATTGACTTTCTGACAAGACACAAAAACTTCAGCATTAAGGAATTTGTCAAGAAAAATGGTTTTTATCTCAACGATAGCACTTTGTTGGAATGTGACTTTTTTGGAAAGCAATGTGGCCCAAAGGTAAGTAATTTGATATTTCTTTAAATATTATTAGCTATTTCATTGTACTATTTCACTATTAGATAGTGTTTATTTTCATGAGGAATCAATCAAAATTTGCTTAAGATTATATTTCATTAGCTCAGCCTTATGATATCAGGGAGTGTGTGGTGCAGCTGTTAACTGTGAAAATGCTAACCAAAAGTTGACACTTGGAACCCAGCCACTTCATGGGATAGTGATGAGGTGGCCTGTTTCTATAAAGATTAAAACAAAACAAAAGAGAACAAAACATTGCCATCAAGTCTGTTCTGACTCATTGTGACCCCTATAGCGTGTCCAAAGCTATAAATCTTTATGGAAGTGGACTGCTCCTTCTTCCTCCCCCAGAGCAGCTGGTAGGTATGAACCACGGACCTCTAATCCGTAAAGATTAGAGCCTTGAAAACCCTATAGGGCAGTTCTACTCTGACCTATAGTTTCGCTATAAACCAGAATAGACTGGATGACAATGTGTTTGGCTTTGAGTTTGGATACATTTAAGACAGATTTTGTCTTTCAAACAGTTAGATAAGGGAAGCTATAGAAATAAATATTCTGTTTCCTTTCTTGCAGTCTAGCCCTTCCAAAAGAAAATCTATTTTAACACAAACAATATATATATTTTTGCCATTTATCCACAAATAACCCATTGGAAGTGTTTTATCATCATTAAGCAGCTATAATTCTGATTTTATGTTTCTGTCATTGCATTAGAGACTATAGAAAATGAGAGGGTACCAGCATTTGAATATGAAAATTGTGTATATATCACTCATAACATATAAGAATTCTGTTTTTATTGTTTTGTATTTAATCTACATTTAAGAGAAAGTGATAGATATATCTGAAATTTACTACCGAAGGGATATGTAGACACTTTGACCCTGTATTCATTTATTAGCAATTCTGTAATGTGTACTGTTAGGTGATTTACAAATTCATGGCTCTAGGGTAAATTTCTTATCCTTTTGGTAGTCTCTCTTAATACACAGTAAATAGAAAAGAAATGCCTGAGAGACATATGAATGAGAGATGTAAGAGAAGTTCTTCTATGCTGCTTTTTATTTGCCAAAATGTGTAAAGACACCACCAAGAGAAACCCAACTCAAGTAAGCTGCAGAGTGAAAGGAATGAATTGGTTTAGTTAACTGGGAAGTTCATGAGTAGGACTAGCTCCAGAAAAGGCTAGACCAACAGACTCCAATATTTTCATTAAGATTATATCTCCTTGTTCATCTTTTGACTCTTGATTCATTTTTTTTCTGTATGAGTTCTTCCCACAGAGAGCCATGATAGCAGATGTCAACCTTCTGTTCATTGTCATGGTTTAGTACTCTATTATCCATTTAAAATACCATGGAAGACTGATTATCTCTAGTTGGAACACATACCAATTCCTGAGTTAACCATTGGGGCCAGGGGATGGAGTATTCATATTGCACAGCATGTGTCATATGAGGACCTCTCTGTAATCAGGACAGTTGGGGAAGAAGAGTGTAAAGAACACAGCATTATCATTAACCAGCTCATCATGATCATACAAGATAGAGAAGGGATGGGGCCTCTAAGAAAAGATGCTGAAAGAGTTCACCACATTTCAAAATATATGTTTCCATGAGTGTTGGTAAAATATGTATTTTTGTAATCTTGTAAACATGCTTAATTTCATAGGAAAATATCTCACTTAAATAATCAAATACAAATTGACAAGTGCATATTACAAAATAAAAAGGAAACTATCACTGAATACAAATATGGATCACCTGATAGTCTATTCTTTCCAATATCTCTATATTCTTACTTTAAAATCTCTGATTTTCTTTTTGAAAAGAGATTTAAATTTTAGAAATGAACAAAATACCCAATTGATAGTGTTTTATTTAATTTATTTTCATATTGGAGGATTTTGCACATGTCTTCACTGAATACGGAAATTGTTTTACTTTTAATCATGGTGAAAATATCCAAGCAAGGAAAAAAGTGAGTGTGTCTGGACGAGGCTTAAGCTTACTCTTCAATGTGAACCAGGTAATGAATTTTCTTAAACTTAGCCAAGGTTCAAGTCAAACAACAGTGTGTAGGAATTAAAAGAATATATAATAATAATATATAAATTATTTAATAATAATTATTATTATTTAATTTTTATTGTGATTTGGGTGAAAGTTTACAGAACAAATTCATATTCCATACAGCTGTTCATACACATTTTGTCTCATGACATTGACTTCAATTCCCCAAAATGTAACAGCTCTTTCTACTTCCTCTCTGTAGCTACCTTTTCCCTGTGTCTTTTCCTCCCTTGAACTCCTGCCCTGCCCCCCAAAGCAAACACTGCCCTTCTGTTCTCCCATGATTGATTGCTCCAAGGAGTATATCTACCTGATGTAAACGGTCATCCCATATGCCTGTGTATTGTTTGGATGGAAGCCACAGAAGAGCTCAATTCCAGTCCTAAAGGGTGGCTAAGGGCCATAGTCTCAGAGCTCTCACCAGGCTCTGTCAGACCAGCAAACCTGTTTTTTTTTTTTTTTTAATGATTTTCAGTTTTGTTCCACATTGTTCTCCCACTCTGTCTTGAATCTCCTGCACCAATTCCCTTCTGGGTGGTTGACTGTGGCAGCCGGGCACTACCTAGTTGTTCACAGATCTCATGGTCTAGGCTGAGGATCACATGTTCTACCAGTACCTTGGACTGTTTCCATGCACCTTTGCTTTTCTTAGTTCTTCTTAATATTTTGCCCTATCAGCTATCTTTCACAAGTTGGATGATATTTTGATTTTTATTAATGTAGTTTGTAATCTCATGGATACAATAATTGATTTAGAAATTAAAAAAGCCAAATTTATAGGCATAATCTGGATATTTTTAACTATAGTACTGACTTGCATTATTGTGAGTCCAAGAAATGTTCAGGCCAAAAATAAGGAAACAAGATATACCCAAGGTGCAATGTATATCGCTAATTTAAGATGACTCTACTGCATGCTTAAAAAAAAATTTAAAAAACTATATATGTAAATAGGAGCTCTGGTAACATAGTGCCTAAGGTATTTGACTGCTAACCAAAAGGCTGGCGGTTCAAACCCACAAGTCACTTCTCGGAAGGAAGATGGGGCAATCTACTTCCATAGTGATACTGCCTCGGAAACCCAAGGAGGGGTCACTATAAGTCAGGTCTGACTCCAAGGCACAGAACAACAACAATATATGTAAATAAAACAATCTGTTTTTGAAAACGGCTATACAAATACATTTGACAAGCTATAGAATCCATAGTCTAGAAAGATGAAAAAAGCGACTGCTTTGCAAAAGCCTCATTTTTCTATGCTAACTAGCCAGAAATGTTTTAACTGTTTGGAACTGGGAAGAAGATGTTCAGGTAGTTGAGAAATGTGGTAGCATTACCTTCAAGAGCTCTGGTAGTATAGTGCCTAAGTCATTTGACTGCTAACCAGAAGGCTGGCGGTTCAAACCCACCAGCCACTCCTCGGAAGGAAAGTTGGGCAACCTACTTCCATTGGATATGACTTAACAGCAGTGTGTGTGTTTTTTTTTTTTTTAACCTTCAAGAACATCTGATAGAGTTAAGACCCAAGTTTAACATTCTGAATTGCACAAGCATTTCTAGTATTACACATTTGGAGTTATTCTAGCCCATTATTATGGTTTTATAAATAAGGATTCTGAAATGCTTATGAATTCAGTATCCAAAATCACACAATTTACAAAGATGAGCAATAAACCTACTTTCCATGAATCTCAGCAAACCATTCTGCCTCTCAATCCAAGTGAATAAGATAATTGGCTATTTTAAATAAGTTCTGTTAAAGTAAACTCCAAAACTTCCTCCCATATGCCACTCAAGATACTCCTCTTTATGTTTAAACACAGCAATACACACTGCAAGTAATGTACCCATACTCATATATATGTTTATAAGTTTGATTAATATTTTTAAGGAATTCAAATATTAACCATAAGATCAATTCAAATATTGTATGGGTTTTAAGGTAGGGTTTTCCAAATAGTTTTAGAATGCAACTAAAATCTACAAATTCAACACATTGTTTTGTAAGTTAACTCACACTGAGGTATTTCTCCAGCATTTCAGGCTTCCTAGAGGTCGAAAGGCCCAAGAGAAACAGGCCTTATAGTTACAAATGAAATTTAAATGGTTTGGTTAAATGTAATTTCATATGCAATTGACCCATTCACAAGAAAAAGAATCTTATTTCCAAATACATTCCTTTTCCTTGTAACCTGAATTTAAAACTAGTGACAAAGTTTCAGGAAGTTCAGTCTTAAACTTCATCTGACAGAGGATATTTAAGAGAGCATTTGTTTTAAATAAATAGTATGTCTTCACTATCATAGAAAAAGGAATTTGATTAATGATTTAAAAAAA